ATTGGTTGGATGTTTCCACAATGTGAAGCTTCAACTCTAAATTGTTCATTTTCATTATGCAATATTTTGTATAACTGTATATAGGGAGAAGGCGGTAATAAGTGTTGCACTTGTGTCCAATCCCTTTGTCTTTTTGGACAATAAAATATGTTTAATAATAATAATAATAATAATAACAATAACACATTATTATTTAAATAATGGGATTTTTGTACCTAAAGTTTCTTGTGAGTATGTACCCAAACCGGTTTATGCTTTTGTTCCCAGAAAAACAATGTGTTTCAGTAGCAAAGATACATTGTGCCAATGTTGATTGACCTCACTCAAGGACCACGTACAGATAATTATATTATGAACTTGATGAAATGTTTTATCATAATGTTCTGCTCATTGTTTGCAATAAACATGAAAAAATATATACAATCGTATATATTTAGTATAGTTTTCTTGGGTACTAAATCACCAAGTATTTTGGTTACAATTTTGGTTTGGGGACAAAAACAAATAGAACCTGCATTCAGCCAGTCGCCGTGTACCTAGTTATATCCGTTGTGAAGATTTGGGAGGTTAGGGGTAGACGTTTTAGAAACATCCTTGATATTTAACCTTGTCCTTCTTGCAATGACAGATAAATCACAATATTGTGTTGTTATTATTATGGCACATCAATGTGTTATATCGCTTACCGTTGCCGTCGTTTTGAGAAAATAATTTTAACATTATCACCGCGGTGGAAATACTTTAGTTTTTGACATTTTCGCTTTTGTTTTTCACATTTTCGTTTTTGTGTTTGACATTTTCATTTTAGTTTTGACCTTTTCGTTTGTATTTTTGACATTTTTATTTAAGTTTTTGACATTTTCGCTTCACTTTTCATCGATTCAATATCTACTTTATACATGATTTATCACATATATGTATGACAAATCGTGTTAATTTGCAAAAGGGTACGATAACAGTAAGTGAAATATCAAAATATTGAAAAACAGACTCAATGTCCCTTATGGACAACCGTACAATGCAGTAACATATTGAAGATCCGATCTCAAGAGCCACATGAAAAAAACTTACAGTTTAATGACATTACAGGCGTATTTCGGAAAACATTTGTATCACATTATAAGGGAAAGTCAAATGCCACTCGACCCGTGAAGATCCGGTGTAGAATAGGTCTTCAGCAACCCATGCTTGCCGTAAAAGGCGGCTATGCTTGTCGTAAAAGGCGACTAACGGGATCGGGTGGACCAGGCTCGCTCACTTGGTTGATGCATGTCATCAATCCCAATTGCGTGGATCGATGCTCATGATATCGTTAAAAAACAAACCAACCAACCAAATGCCACTCCTTATCTCAATAACAAAGTTATTAGCACTTTCAGCCAGGTGGTTTAAGCGTTCAGTCGCAAGCCCATTTCTGGGGTCCCCCGCCGTGATATTGCTGGAATATTGCTAAAAGCGGCGTTAAACAATACTCTCGCACTCCAGTTTCATGACCTTGACCTTTAAACTCTGTGATGAACTGGCAGAAAATATTACATTATGTGGTGTAAGAACAGCAGGATACATGCTTTCAAGCTCACGTGTATTACCTTCTTTATCCTTTTATTTTTTTAATAATATGGTTTATAGAAATTGTAGCCATGTTTTCTAACATGATCTCTGAATACATTGACCACATACCGCTGTCACTCAAAAGTTAATTCCGTGGAGACCCCTTAAGCTTCCAAGATATAAATGTCTTCAAATTCCATTCTTAATTAAAAACACATGTTATTATTAAACTGCCTTCTTCAGTTTGACTGCAATTTGAACTTATGGCAATTAATTAGGAATAATGACCAAGTACACAAAATATAATTGATGGATATTTCATTAATTAAAATATTTCTTCATTTTCAATTGTAAATGTAAGCGAAATAACTTTGAACTCGTCATTAAATCATATTTTACCTCATTTCTGAGCGTGGCACATGTTGCTCTATTGGCAAATCTAAGACATAAAAAGACAAATATGAATAAGATTCAAGTGAATCCAAATTGTTTTCTAAAGTTTGCTTTATTAGTTTAATGTGGACAGTTCAATTCAGTATTACAGTTCTAAATATCACTGTAATTTAATTACCAATATAACTACATAAGGCGGCATAGTAATAGTGGATAGAGATTTCAAATGTGCACTTGTTTGTTCGACACTGATCGGTAGTATATCACATATTATAATGTAGAATACTGTTCCTTTTCAGCATTTCTTCTGCACAAACATGCGGCAATGATGATTCCGATGATCTGGGAAAAATAAGTAAAATTATCTTTAACTTTATATCTTTATTATAAAATTTACTTCAGTGTTTCTAAAATGTGTCCAGCATGAGAAACACAATGACGGCATCTCCTCTTAAGGGATTGTCAGCATTATCTGTGTTTCATTCGTTTTGATGAAGGCACATCTTGATGGGTGGATACAACTGTACCAATGGGTACATGTTTCTATATAACCAGGTTTGAGATGTACATTGAGTGTGTTTGCCGTAGTAAGCCACACTCCAACTTTATCAAGCAAATAATGAAGTCATAGCCAGGCAAGCTAGTGTACGACGACGCGCATCCAGTAGTAACAATCACTGACAACCCAATACCACACAAGTCGGCTGAATATCAAAGTTGAAACAAACGACCAAAAGTTATACTTTCCTGTACGAACGTCATAGAGATACAACAAGATACTTTCTGCCAACGCAACGATGACGGAGTCAGCAACCAAAACAATTTCCGTAAAGCGGCCTTGTAGAGTATAAAATATTTGCCTGTAACATCCCTGTAAGATACACAGACACATGGGTATCAAAATCAACATTATCATGGCCGTACATGGTGTTCACATGCATGTAGCTGCATGTTGAAAAAAATAGTTCAGTTAAAAACAAAATTAAATTTAGATCGACACGGACACAACAATAATTACTTTTCCATGTTCCGATTATTTCCGAGAAGTATTTATTTGAGAAGTGTAAGTATGTGTGTATGCTTGATATTGGTTTTGGTTATTCAGATGAGACTAAGATATCCGGAACATTAGGACGAGTTGTACGGAAAACCCATTCACCACATCTTGCATAAAATATTTATGAACCATATGGTTTAAGATACGCTAGAGTTATGATCCTCGGAAAATTAATCTCTCTCTCTCTCTCTCTCTCTCTCTCTCTCTCTCTCTCTCTCTCTCTCTCTCTCTCTCTCTCTCTCTCTCTCACTCTCTCTCTCTCTCTCTCTCTCTCTCCATATCTTACGTGAGAAAACATGAGCTGATTCGGGCAGAAGTTGCTGCTGATGGTCCAACGAGGATCAGTATCAGCTGATGACACACAACAACTAATTGGCAATTTCCCCTGAAACATGTTTTACAAATATTTTGACCGTATGGACGGCTGTTTGGTTTGAGAATACATCAATTGTCATGTTTTGCGATTATTAGTGCGTCATTAGTCAGTTGATAATACATCTTTGATAGTAATTTGACATGTTAATCGAAAATTACATTTTTCTTAGCTTTAATGATATTTAGTCCGCTGTTATTGTTCATTATTTTTCAATGCCTTTATTATAAAAAGGTGCATTTACAACACGTCTCACTTCCCTGGCGGAGTTTACTGTGGGCGCGCTAATAATCATCTATATGACGTCACAAAGTTGGTGCGCGGGGAATGACATAATACATAAATACGTTGCGAACATGGGTGTAGCGATGCCCATGGCATGCAGGTATCATATACACAGCAGAATAAGCCCATATAGCTCTGAATGTTTTACAAATTGCAGCTCCATCAGACATTCTTTATTGGGAATGTTGCCATTTTAACATTAAGCGGTTGGTGCCCCTATGTGTGCACTGACGTTCTTCGGTACACATTGATCTTGCATGTTTTTAGTTTTTGCTACCTATATTAAATATATCCTGTTAGGGTTGTTCAATAATGTCAATTTTGTTCTTTGAGTCTCATTATCAGTAAGAAAATAATTATTTTCAAGTAATACTTTATTGGAAACATTTGACTATTGTTGAACTCTATTTCACTTGTACTTTTTGACAGAATTGCGGCCATTATCACCGTCCACAGTATCAGGACCACACGTATCTGCAAAAAGTATTCTACTGTCTTCAATCGCTGTTTACCTTTGGTAAATTAAACATCAGGTCATTTTCTATTTGGCTAATATCGTCAATATACATTGTGATGACCACTTGTCAAATTTCAATCTTGTAATTTTCAGTGACACCTATAACAATCATAATATGAATGTTATGTTGCATATGATGACGTCACCCGTTGCAAGTGACAATCCACGCCTTAATGAACCAACATGGTACGTTTACAAATACCACCATGGACACGACTTTATAGCCAAAATGGAGGCATGAGTTGTGTATCGAACTATAACTCATTACTAATTATTGTTTACAATACCTTCTTTGAAACAATGAAATCACGGTACACACCTTATCATTGCCAGTAAACACCGCATCATAATCTCTGTAACCGCGAACGCCACAGCAATGTAACTGTAAAGATAAGGATTCGGTGTTAGATTGGACCCCTAGACTGAAAGGTAGAGTGAGGGTTTTTAAGTCTGTAACTTGTATATACATATGAAATGCACATACATTTTTATAATGGAGGACATGCTATCAAAACAGTGACATTTTCTACTTTAATAAGTGAGGTTGGATAATGAATAGTTATGTAAATAAAAGAGGCAAAACCTTTGCAATAATCATAGTTTTACGATTTCGACAATATCATGGCCATGTATGTATGTACATGTTGCCCCGTGCATAAAACACTAGTCAGTAATCTACAGTTAACACATGACGGGATTCATGTCAAAGAAAAGCAAATATAAACATCTTGTATACGGTCTTAACAAATCTTAAAATAAACATAAAAAAGATCCGTGAAATTACTTTATTTTCTTAGATAATAACGTTGTTCTGCTCGAGTGAGCTACATGTACAGTTCCTGCACAGACAAACCACATCATTCAGTGGTGTGACAACCATAAATTTTCTGAAATATTGCCGATGGTGCGTTTCAATTCAAGTAAAGTAGCATTGGACACATTGGTTTGGGTATCGTTTTCCTGATTAAAGGTATATTCTGCCCATAAAGCTGTTTCCTGTTACCTGTTTTTGAACATAGTCCCAAGGTTTGGTGAACTCGGTAGCATTCTCGCTGTACTTGTTCTGCAAACGGTTTTTAAGGGTGCTACTGAAATGGTCTCTATCCTTTTCCTGAAAACATTAAACATATGTATGAACGGGTTATAAAATATAAAGAAATGTCTGTGATTTAGTCGTTCACGACTAGCCTCAGCACCATCCTCCGCCTTCTGAAGATAACACCTTTGGGGCGTATTTCCTGAAGGCGCTCGAAAATGACGTTACATGTCTCTGATACTATGACTTTGTTGATGCCCGCATAAATCCTGGAACTATCATCCCCACTAAGACAGCATATATTAAACTTTGAGCAAAAGGTTAAAATTAAATGAGTCAAGAGAAGACAAACGTCAGAAACAATTGCACACTAGGTGGAGAACAGACAAGTATAACAATATTGAAAGTGAGAAATCTGTTAAAGTGTTCTAAGTGTTGATGGGTGTGTGGGATGGGCCCGTGAGCTGCAACCCTTGATTGGTGATGTGAGATGCGACTCCTGGGCAGGCCAAAAGTCTATGATCAATGTTTCAAATGAATCTAAGATTATAATTCTTGCCGTAAAAAAAGAACTATGCCATTCTTTAAATTGTTATGCGAGGTAACCGTGATAAAAAGATGAAAGGATATGTCCTACACATTGTGGGTTAGACCTACCAGATTAAAGATCTTGGCTGCCGATATGATGAACACCAGTATTACGATGGGGATGGTCAGGGACAAGGCGATGTACTGAATAATTAAGAGCACACTACTATACGATATGAACATTACATAAGAGCTAAAAAACAGTGTCAGATACGCAGTTTCAACGTACCCTTGGGGCATGGACTGTTACTTGTGCTATAACACACACTGGTTTGTCTGTTACATATAGCGTTTTTAAACTGTTGCTTAAATATTGTTTCGGTATTGTAAAATAACATTCACTCATACCTAAGTATTATGACACCATAAGGGATTCAATTGGACAGATGTGATCAGGGGCCTGTGTGAACAAACATGTCATGGTAAGTAACCATATACAATATATTGGAAAGGATTAGGGGTGTTTCTACTCTTCAGTCTTGTGTCAATGTATATTGCTGTAAAGCCTTACCTTTGCTTAAATGCAACTGAGCCAGAAAATACCATAATGAACTGTAGTCCTTGCTAATGTGTTCACTGATGTGTTAATGTATAATGCTGTAAACCATTATCTTTGTTTAAATGCAATTGTGCCAGTACATATCCTCATGAACTGTAGTCCTTGCTATGATGCTATTGTAGTAACTGATATTTCTGTGATCTAGTATCGTTGCTTGGATGCTATTGTGTCATTGGGTATAGTGGTGAACAATTACCCACGCTTTTCTATAATTATATACAGCAACAAGTAAAATGTTATGAAAAATGTTAGTAAAATGTTGTTTGTTCATACCATTCCTAGCAAATACTTGTTCCTGGCAGCAGCTCCGACACAGCCACAGAAGCCAACAAAGACCACAAGGGCCCCAATGCCAATGATGATCCAGACGCTGTTGGCGAGAAATGTACTACTTCCATCCAGCTTAATTTGAGTGATGTAAGTAATAAAGGGGTTCACTTTGAGAAAAATGCCAAGTCCTATTGTGGCTATTCCGACAATCTGCAAAGATTCAAGATCTCAATACATTATCATTGTGACATAGAAGAGGTTCCCGGTTAATATATTCAGAAAATATGCATAAATCACATTTCAGTTGCAAATGTGCGTCTTGTAAGAGGATATTTCAGCACTAGTGCACAAAACCATACCAGAATACACACTCAACACATTGTACAGCTTTGGGGAATCGAATTCGGCTCTTCGTAGTCACAAACTCAAAGCTTGCTTGATTCTCCGGGCCTGTATTGTATTATGAGCACAAAGTTCACGAGTAAAGGTAGTAATACTGGTGTATTACGGTGTCCTCACTCACTCACTCATAGTGCTAACTTTTAAAAGCATTAAGTTTACATGTGAAGACGTATTACCTGCCCTGTCCGGTATGGTAACCAAACGTAAAGATTATATTTGCATACATTACAAACATCAACAAAATCATATGAAATCTCTGCTGATAGGCATACACTGTAAATATATAAATCTGAATTGTACCTCAAACGTTGTGAAATGAAGAGAACAAAGGCTTGAGTTTAGAGGATATTGCTCAACATGAAGGGAACATTGAAGTTTTATGGATAGATTATTGTCACTCTGAATCTGTATGCATATATTTAAATATGAAGCAAACGAGGCTGTTTCTCTCGTCTCTTTTATGGCGACCTCAGGTGAATAAATCAGTGGAAGGTCACAGGCTATTTGACCATTACCGATTAACATCAGAGCATTTATGTACCTGAAGCTTAAGTGAAACGTTTTTGACGAAATTTGATCAGCAAGGAGGGGAGCTGAAATTAATGTTCACATGAATGTCTGCATGAAATGCGTCACAAAAACTAATGCGAGTGCCATCTCATAGCCTAGAATGCGTCATGAAATTAATGAGTGAGTGAGTTAATGCTTTACGTCACATCGGCAATATTTCAGCCATGTCGTGACGAGTATGAAATTAATATATAAAGTAATCATCATATAAGGTATGATAACGGTTCTGTTGAATAATAACGTTTGCTGTTTCCTGCTGTAGTTATTTGACAAGGTTACAAAGAAAAACACATTGTAAATTTTGCTTGAGTAACTAGTTGAACAGACTTTAATTGTATCAAATAGGAAGGTTTCAGAAAAGTTTATATTTAAGGTGAGGAGGAAAAGCAACTTACAGCAAATATGACATTGAAGAAGATGAAGAGGCACCTGAAGGTCTTTGTACACCAGCCCAGCTCCATCTTAGCGTGTGTAGTCTTGAGGAATATGTCTCCAGGTGTAACAGATGTAGGTGAGAAGTGTGACCTTAGAGTTTACCTCTGAAGCAAAACATAACTCATATAGGCAACTAATCTAAGTTGAGACTGTCATGTTGGTAGGGCTTATCCGTACATTTCCTAGTGAACTATTTATATCAAACATCAAACACATGAGCATAGAAAGAGGAAACCCATATGTCTTGACTATGTAAACAAAAGCCACAAAACATTCTCCATAATCATCAGACATATCTGCTAAAAGCAAAGTCCATTGTATGATTCAGACTCTATGATCAGCATTTGTTTGGGAATCATCATGAAATAATGATGACACCAGCTGATCGAGAAAAGGTGTGGATACAACCCAACCGGTGGCATACCTTCGAAACACGCAAAACGGTTAGTCATTTGTTCACTTGCGAAAAGCTAGGAACATGTTTTACAAAACAGGGAATTGCATCAGACTTAATTTTGGTCACTGATGCAACAAATGTCGACATGTCTGCTATAAAACATGAAACCCGGATCAACAACGGTTGTATGCCGCTCTTTGAATGTATTTTGAAGAAAGAGTATGCTCGAATGTATCTCAAAAGAGCTGGACCACCAAAGGTTGGAGCTGCTGGAACATTGCTCGACATTCAGGGAAAGTTGACTATCCGAATGTTGACGCCATCCTTATCATACAGTCTTGTGGAGATGTGTTTTGTCACATCTAAATTTGTATGCATATATCTAAATATGAAATAGATGAGGTGGTTTCACTGGTCTCCTATATTACTAATACTGGTGGGTAAATCTGCATAAAAAGCCGATCAACAAGAAGAGGAACATAATTGGTGCCAATGGGAATGCCAATAACTACTTCTTGTGTACATGTTTTATCCCCAACTGTCACCATGGATGTTTTCAATGAGGAGGTCCAGCATTTCACATGTTGTTTGATCAGTTAATTTTATTTACTTTCATTTTTGACAAATTGCCTCGACCTGAAGATAGAGATGTAAATATAGCTATGGCAACCACGATTAGGAACAAATGTCCCATCGATCAAGGAATGAAGTTTTCCCCCAGGTTTGTAGTGTGGGATTGTGGTACATGTATACAAAGGTGTAAAATCAAATATTTTGACACAATTCAACTTGAATTGGTTATTTTCTGAGATTGCACAAATTCAAGCAAATCCTTCGAATTTTTTAGAATCGACATTGTGATAATTCCACTTGTCTCATATACAGTCTGTGGATATATAGAAAGTGTTAAATATATTAATGATTATGGTTAATCTTTGAGACAAGGATCAGGGATTTGGTGCTACGTATGCAGAACCTGCAATATGTCGTTCTGAGTACGGATTTTAATGGAGCTTTGAAAACCAGTAAAAAAGGAAATGGACATGTGTCATGCCAAAAGTATCTCAGTTAACATACTGACCTTATCTGTTGCATCACTTAATATGTAACTCATACCATTTTCTCCAATCAAACACTCAATTAATTGTATTTTTCTTTTAGGGTTTTATAGTGGGAACTACGACACACACATCATGGAAGTTCAGACAGACTTGGATGACTGAAAGATGGGACAGAATAGGTTTATTCCCATTCTGGTTCCTCTTTTCAGTTGTGCATTCAGCCACTAACAATATCACGCACGGAATAAGTAGGGAAGTCACTTGTGGTTATGACACTCATATTGGTAGCAGATTACGTCTTCGGAGTCATACATAGTAATAATCAAATCTTTATATTTACTTAAGAACTGACCTTCACTTTGTGTGAGTTCATTGGAGTATGAACCTTAATAGAGTGAGGGCCAAACTGTATGAACGTCGGAGCTTGCACCCCTTGGGCCATGTGGGCTTTTTTTACAAACTGTGGTGACCGTGGATACAGTCACATATTTATCTTCAGAGGTCAATTTACCTAAAATGAAAGTAAATGCCATCTGCCGTTTACTGATAAAAAACAGTATGTGCAATGCTGGACTTCATTGACAACAGGTAAACGCACAGCAAAAAAAATGCAGTTTCCGGTATCCGGATACCTGCCGGATACCACCGGACACTTACCCAAAACGCGTCCGGGTATCCGGTGGCAGATACCTTGCCGGATACCAGATCTGTGGTATCCGGCATGGACACCTCACCGGAAAGTATGTCACCTGGAATCCGGGTATCCGGCACCGGATACCTCACCGGATACCTCAATCTGGGTGTCCAGGGATCCGGCACCGGATACCTCATTCTGAGTTTCCAAAAACATGTCACAATTTGGGGGGTGCATTTTGTTCAATTAAGTGTGAAACACCTAAAAATATATTGGAAACTAACCATGAAAATTGAACATTGCTGAAGGTATCCGGCAGGTATCCGGCAGGTATCCGGCAGGTATCCGGATGCAATTTTTCGAGATGTCTTTCTCCTAGTAAATAATGTTAGCCTGGGCATAGCAGATAGCTGTAATATTCTGTGCTATTTTAGTTGTAAATATCCCCTTGAAGTTGAGATCTATGGGCATGTACTTTTGGTGAAAACATTTTTCAAGTTCATATATATTTCAATTTAGATGTTCAGCGTATTAAATGAAAAGCATTCAGTCCTGGTATGATGGTATCCTTACATATCATCTTCATATTCCCAGTTTGTTCTAGCCTAGTGGTTGAAGCATTCGATTCACCACATCGGTACATTGCTTGGTGTCACCCATCATAATATTGTTTGAATTTTGCTCATAAAGTGGCATAACACCATACTCAGTCTGACAAAAAAATGAAAGTCATTGGCTGTGTGCTCACTTGGGCCTTTGTTCCTGGTGAGATTAAAAGTTTATTTTGGAACTGTATCAATACTTGTTACATCATGACAGACGAGTTTCATTGAAGTTCGAAACAGAATATCATTAACCCAAATGGGTGCATAAGACTAATGGCATCCACAGAAAACACCTAATAAAGTACTGGTACATAAAAATATCAATGTAACTTTTCTACTGACATGGAACTAAAAACTTCGTTCAGTGAGCTGTATTAATTGTAGGAAAACATTCAGGGCATTAGTATATTTGATATATGTTAGCACCTATGTTATGAATGATCAATATGATATTTCTTTAAAGAAGCAAAACACAAAAATTGTTAAGATAAAAAATCATATTTATTGATTTTATGACATTTCATTGGTTCAGTAACCAGAGGTGTTTGCAAGAACATTCAAAAACAGAAACAGATGCTTCAATGCCATTTTCTAAATAAACAAATTAGTCAAATCTCAGAAGAATTTCAAGGTAGAAGAATATCTAAAGTCAATTATGTTTGTGCAGTAAACCACAAAAGTCATTCAGATTTGTATAGTCAGCGTCAGTGTACACCACATAAACAGTCTCACTGCTGTGGTATTAATTCCTTTAGACTTGATTAATGTCGTAATAAAACAACCTACAGAATCACACTGATGTGGCATTATTCATTCAGAATCATCACTTTCTGAGGTGAACCTGTTAGTTGTTCTGGGGAGGATTATTCATCATCCGGAGAGTCCTTTGTATGACTTGTCTGATCTGGTGTCATTGTGAAATCCAGGTGCCTGAAACAATTTATAACATCTTTAAAAGCTTGTTATTAAAAATATAAGAAACACACATATATTGACAAAGGGTAAAAATTGGGTTTCTCAATGAGTAAGGTAATGACAATTTATCAAGCAACTGTTAACCAAACCCTGTTAACCAATGTAAAAAAGCCATAGCAAACAGTAAATTGTACAGAAAATACAAAATTGTAATTGATCTTCTGAAAACAATTCCTGTAGTGCCATAAGGCAGGCTCACCTGAATTTTTCTCAAATGTTTGCATTACATCAAAACACAAGGAAAGGTAAACAAGGCAATGCAAATTGCATAAAATAGGTTCTTATACATAAAAACAGAACTAAAGTATTTGACGTAATAAGCGCCTCGCTCTAATAAGCGCCCATGGGAATATTTGCTAATATATTGGCTAGTGAACAATCCCAATTAGCACCCTTTCCAATTAATCAATGTATACAAGACTTATTTATTTGCGTATAATACACACTTGTGTGTGATATGCATTATCATATTTTTATCATTTATCCTATCTTTAATTCAGATTAACAATAACGGCAAAAACTGCCAAATATATTGGTCAACTGTAATCATAATTTAAGTAGTTCTATTTGGTTTTGGAACTGTTCAAGGGTAATTGTAAATATATGTGTATTCCTATTTGAATACTCATTTGATTGTTATAAAGTTACACAGTATTGCATCTATCGTCTGTTTCTAAATACAGTGGAACCTATCTTTGACTTGTGTGACATAATTGAATCATACCCCAAGTTCATTATGCATTGTTATGCATCTGCACAGAGTGGTCAAAGTCCTTGTCACACACATAGTTTGCTACAAGGCAGAATCCAATAAGTACAGTTGAGACATCAGGTTGTATCCAGACAAACTGTCTGATAATCTCAAGTATGGTCTTGGTCGCATCAAGGGATGTAGCTAATCCTAAATAAACATTAAACAAGTGACATAATCTCTTCTACAGAATACTTGATCAAAGCCTGCCCCACCTTTGATGTTTATCATCTCGTTACGCTCACAACAGCTCATTAGCAAGATGAGCTCAATGTCAACTCATGGTGGATTAGGGATTAACAGGGCAATTAGTGTCAGGTGGGTATTATCACTTGCAATTGTCTGTTAATTACTTAATTGAGTAGTGACGGCTTAGTTAGTTTCCAACCACACTGACTGTCATGCTACTTATCAAGTCAGTTTACTGGTAACTTGTGTCTGTGGACCAAGGAAATGTATCATGCCAGATACTTAAAAAGTTCTACTCATAAGTAATAAAATAATGAGTTTTGATATGCAATTCTCCCTACAAAGACATTTAACATTTGATATACATAAACTGTCTGTTGAAACTATGATGATGCTAATATACAAGTCGCACAAAACAACCTATTCATATACTG